TTCGCGTCTCCACTCCTCCACATGCAGCTGCTGGGTGACCTTGGGCCGGTCACACTTCTCTGAAGTCTCTCAGCCCCACTCACCTCACAGAGTGTTTGTTGTGGGGGAGGAAGGGAAAGGAGAATGTTAGCTGCTTTGAGACTCCTTAAAGGGAGTGAAAGGCGAGATATCAAATCCAAACTCCTCCTCCTCCTCCTCTTCTTCTTCTTCTTCTTCTTCTTCTTCTTCTTCTTTCTGAAACAATGTGTGCGTTTATCTGAACGTTGCAGTGCAATTCTCCACACCAAGTACAGTGGTACCTGAGGTTACATACGGTTCAGGTTACAGACGCTTCAGGTTGCAGACTCCACTAACCCAGAAATAGTGCTTCAGGTTAAGAACTTTGCTTCAGGATGAGAACAGAAATCGCGTGGCAGCAGCAGGAGGCCCCATTAGCTAAAGTGGTGCTTCAGGTTAAGAACAGTTTCACGTTAAGAACGGACCTCCCGAACGAATTAGTTCTTAACCTGAGGTACCACTGTAATACGTTTCAAAATGCACATTCTGGGGTAATGCAGGCATTTTTTAAAAAAATGCTTGGGCAGTGGCCCATTTAGGTCCCAAGGCACCGCATGTTTAAGTGTAGTCACGTATATTTGAAACACCATGGGAAAATCCTGCAAACATCCCCTTGTAACCTTTCCACAAGGGCCGACATTGATGCCGAAATCCAGCATCGCCTGAGCTCTGCGAGTGCAGCTTTCTTCTGATTGAAATGCAGAGTGTTTGAGGACTGGAACATTCGCAGGGAAACCAAAATGCTTGTTTACAAAGCCATTGTGCTACCAACCTTACTGTATGCTTGTGAAACGTGGACCACTTATAAACGCCATCTCCAACTCCTCGAAAGATTCCATCAACAGTGGTGTCTCCGAAAAATCTTACACATCACTTGGGAAGACAGGTGACCTAATACCAGTGTACCGGAAGAAGCAAAGATCACCAGTGTCGAAGCAATGATTCTTCAACATCAACTTTGTTGGGCTGGTCATGTTGTCCGGATGCCTGATTATCATCTTCCAATGCAACTATAGTGGTGCCTCGCAAGACGAAATTAATTCGTTCAGTGAGTTTTTTGTCTTGGCGATTTTTTTTGTCTTGCGAAGTCACGTTCGGAAAAGTTTTGGAAAGCCGAAAAATCACAAAGTCTTCCAAAAACTTCAGAGAAAAGGTACACACGCCTATAGTTCTTACCGAGTCAATTCGAGCTGTATTAAGGTTTTAGAAATTAAGAAACAAACTTGCAACCCGTTCGTCTTTCGAAGCAAGCCCATAGGGAAAATCGTCTTGCGTAAGCATATCAAATCGCAAAACCTGTCGTCTGCGAAGTTTTCGTCTTGCGGAGGCATCGTCTGCGAGGTACCCACGTTACTTATCCGAATTTAAAATAGAAAGGCATAAATGTGGTTTGGTCAACAAAAGAGGTTAAAGACTGTCTCAAGGAAATCTTTAAAAATGCAGTTAAACACAACATGGAAGAACACTGGCCTGCGAGCGCAAACAGTTGAGAACAGCCTTATCAAAGTGTTTGTGGCTTTGGAAACACTCGCACCCAGACAAAGGAAAACGCGCTAAGAGGAAGGCACGCTTGGCAAATCCATACCATGATCACCTCCCGCCCGGAAACCTATGTCCCCACTGTAGAAGGACGTGTGGATCCAGAATTGGCCTCCACAGTCACTTACGGACTCACTGTTAAAACCGTGTTTATGGAAGGCAATCTTACTCGGCTACGAGGGATCGCCAAAGAAGAAGAAGATATTTGAAACACCATGGGAAAATCCTGCAAACATCCTCTTGTGCCCCCCCCCATACTGCCTCTGCTCTGCCCCTTTTTGGGATGTTGTTGTGATGTTTTTGGGATACGTCTGGGTTCGGCTCAATGCACACACATATCGGACACACCTAAAACCGTCACTGTCCTCTATAATAATAATAATAATAATAATAATTTATTATTTATACCCCGCTCATCTGGCTGGGTTTCCCCAGCCACTCTGGGCAGCTTCCAACAAAACACTAAAATACAATAACCTATTAAACATTCAAAGCTTCCCTAAACAGGGCTGCCTTCAGATGTCTTCTAAAAGTTTTGTAGTTATTTTTCTCTTTGACATCTGGTGGGAGGGCGTTCCACAGGGCCGGCGCCACTACCGAGAAGGCCCTCTGCCTGGTTCCCTGTAACTTGGCTTCTCGTAGCGAGGGAACCGCCAGAAGGCCTTCGGCACTGGACCTCAGTGTCTGGGCTGAACGATGGGGGTGGAGTCGCTCCTTCAGGTATACTGGACCGAGGCCGTTTAGGGCTTTCAAGGTCAGCACCGACACTTTGAATTGTGCTCGGAAACGTACTGGGAGCCAGTGTAGGTCTTTCAAGACCGGTGTTATATGGTCTCGGCAGCCGCTCCCAGTCACCAGTCACACTGCCGCATTCTGGATTAGTTGTAGTTTCCAGGTCACTTTCAAAGGTAGCCCCACATAGAGCGCAGTAGTCCAAGCAAGAGATAACCAGAGCATGCACCACTCTGGCGAGACAGTCTGCGGGCCAATAGGGTCTCAGCCTGCATACCAGATGGTGGACAGCTGCCCTGGACACAGAATTGACCTGCACCTCCATGGACAGCTGTGAGTCCAAAATGACTCCCAGGCTGCGCACCTGGTCCTTCAGGGGCACAGTTACCCCATTCAGGACCAGGGAGTCCTCCACACCCGCCTGCCTCCTGTCCCCCAGAAACAGTACTTCTGTCCTGTTAGGATTCAACCTCAATCTGTTAACCACCATCCATCCTCCAACTGCTTCTATACATCAGTGAAAATAATGGACAGTGGTGCATTTTCTTAAAGAGCTTTGCAAATCATGCGTACATTAGGCAAAGCTGCGTATGAAAATGTCATTATCGGGAGAAATTTGCCAGTGAGATTTTTTAAAACTCTCAAATGGATGCGGAAGTGTGACGGATTCCGCTTAAAACTTGAACAATGCAAAACTGAGAGAAACCAAAGCTGATAGGTCTTTCCACCCACGCTCCCCCCCCCCAGCAACTCATACGCCCAGCCTCCCTGGAATCCTCAATGTTAATTCGCTGACACTGCAGAGCTTTTTGTAGAGTATTGCATTGAAATGAAAATGAGGGACAAGGAATGCCAGCGAGTTCACCCAATGGGCATTCTCCTCCGGCTGATGCTGCCAGCCTAAGCCTAGCACAGCATGCCGGGGGCACTTTGCTAGCATTGCCTCGCACCCGGAGCCGGTTTTACAAGCATTCGAACCCAGAACCTGTTACCCAAGCTTGGCTCTGGATATGTGGAATTTCCAAACCTTTCCCTAGTTGCCGATGCAATTGTTGAGCCCAGAAGGAGTGTCTTATTTGGGGAGGTGCAGTTCTGGAAGGGAGAAACTGGATCTTTTGATCTGACGAGGGGGAGACTTGGCTCTCCTCTGAAAATCTGCAGTGTCAAAGCAGCAGGTTACATTTTGTTTTGTTTTTTAAATAATATTTTATTAGAGTTTCAAATAATACAAAAACAAAGAGAAAAAGAACAAGGGGAAAAAAGAATAAAAAAGAATTATTCCTTTACAATCCCATTTTCAGTCACTTTTTTTCCGCGACTTCCCCTCACCTCCCCTTCTTGTATTCCATGTCCAAATATTTATCCAACAAGTTCTTATCCCTAAATTCTTAACATTAATTTGTTATTATATTTTTATATTATATTTTTAACCTTAATTTGTTATTATATTTACTTCAGTTTATATATCAACTTTTAACTTATATACCTCAATCCTTTACATTTGAGAACTTTTTCTAAGGTCGACCCAGTTTCCCTTCCACGAATTCCCCATTCTTATACTAATAACAACACAAAATTAAAAACAAAGTAAAAAGAATCAAACACCCTTTGGATTTCCAAACCCCACCCTCCCTTCCCCGGTTTCGATCCCAGAACCATTGTCCATTAGTCCATCTACTATCAGCCTGGCAACCTCACGTCCGAGGCCCTTAAGTCTCTCTCAGTCCCTCTCTGCCGGTTTCTTTGAAAGTCCCTTATAGTTAACGCCAAGTCTCGGAGGGGCACTCTCTCTATAATGTCCATGTTCTTTCCAGCCAGGCCTCCATGTTCAAAAGTGGGGCTCAAATCTTGTTTCTTAATCCTTTTAAGTCCAAATATCCCAAGGGCTCCAGCTTCCACCTTGATCAAACTTAAAGTCCATAGATCTTCAGATCCCCACAAAAGGAGATCTTTCCATTCCTCATTTCTAAGTTCAAACCAAGTTTTCCTCTTCCAGTCCTTATTTTCTTTTATATCCATCTTGACAGGCCTCCGGCTCTCATTTGCCTTCTGCAGCATTGCAGCCCCTCCTTTCGCAGCAGGTTACATTTTGAAGCAGAGAAGCAGTTTGGGGAGTTGCTTAACTCTCCCTGCTGTGTTTCCAATGCAGTTGGACTCACCAGAGTTTGGGAGAGTGAAAAGTGGTCCATGCGCATTCCTGGTATTCTCAGATAGCATTTGGCACCCCCCTCCTGTCTGATTGCTGCAAAGACAGGGGGTTACAAAGCGAATACAGTGGTACCTTGGTTCTCAAACTTAATCCGTTCCAGAAGTCCGTTCCAAAACCAAAGGGTTCCAAAACCAAGGCATGCTTTCCCACAGAAAGTAAAGCGAAACGGCGTAATCCGTTCCAGACTTTTAAAAACAACCCCTAAAACAGCAATATAACATGAATTTTATTAACGAGACCATTAATCCATAAAATGAAAGCAACAATCAATGTGTGATGCTCTTTTGTTAAATCAGTAAATGCTTGGGCTATATCCTGCGAACTCTGGTTTGCATTCCTATTTATGGCTGACGAACGGTGCAATTTAAATTTGGCCCGCCCTGGTCTTCTAAAAGATGGGAGAGGAAGCGGAATATCTCAGACTTCATTTTTAATTTTTTTTCTCCCTTTCTTTTCTTCTCAGGGACAACTTGTACCGCATAAGCCTTGAACCCGAGGCCTCGGCCAGTGAAATGCGCTACCATCAGGTAAGTGATAAGCCTCAAAAGTAGAGGGTCTTTGTAGCCCTTGTCAGTGAAATTAGTTTGCATGGTTAACTTAGGCCCATGAATTGCAGTGGGACTACTCTGAGCAGGACTAAAGTTGGCTGGATAGTGTGCTTTTTTTCTGGGGGTAGTCAAAGTTACACAGTACCAGCACCTTTAAATAGACACCGTATTTTTCGCTCTATAAGACGCACTTTCCCCCCTCCAAAAATTAAGGGAAATGTGTGTGCGTCCTATGGGGCGAATGCAGGCTCCTTGGCTTCAGCAATAGCAACACGAAGCCTCCAAAGCGCAGAGGGAGCGCTCTCTCTGCACTCCGGAGGCTTCGCGTTGCTTTCGCTGAAGCCTGGAGAGCGAGAGGGGTCGGTGCGCACCGACCCCTCTCGCTCTCCAGGCTTCAGGGATAGCCGCCTGAAGCCTTCGGAGCGCAGCAGGAACTCGTGCTGTGCTCCGAAGGCTTCGGGTTCCTTTGCTGAATTTGGGAGAGCAAGACTCTCCCGGCTTCAGCAGAGAGGGAGAGCTGCGCAGCACCCCTTCAGCCAAGCGGGAGGAGAAATGGAAGGGGCTCCGTTTCTCATGCCGCTTCGCTGAAGGGGCGCTGAGCAGAGAGGGGGAGAATTCTTTTTCTTGTTCTCCCCCTCTAAAACAAGGTGCGTCCTATGGTCGGGTGCATCCTATAGAGCGAAAAATACGGTATATTAAAAGTTCAACACTTTCTGTAACAACGTGAGTAGCAACACCTTTTTTTCCTTTTTTTTTTTTTAAAGCACTGGATCGAACCCAATGTTTTGAAATGCAAGACCCTGCTAAAAAGTACTCCCTTGGAGGTTGACCGCCTCTCAGATGGATATGGATCGTCACAGGACTGGGCTATTTTTAAATAGGCTTTTATTGATTTTCTCAGTAAAACAGAACGGGGATATAACAGTACAGAACACACCCAATAAGAGCCGGTGTCACAGCTCAGCAGCGTAGCAAAGAGGGCATTTTTGAAACGGATACGGAGCCCAGGGAAAAGAAGCAACAGGAAATTATAGGCTAGAACCAGGGAGGTCCCTCCGAAAGAAGATTTTTCAGTGCAAATGAAACCATGTCTGCTCAGAAGTAAGTCCTATTGAATGCAATGAGACTTACTCCTAGGCAAACAGGGTCATGGTTGCAGCCTTTGGGTGGCAATCAACTACATTTTATACTGAGAGCAGAACTGCTGGAATTAATGCACCACATCCATTCATTTCGGTGGGTCTACTCAGTGAGTAAAACTTAGTTGAATACCACTTTGGTTGGTAAATCTTATACCTTGGATCCCAAATGCCTTGGTACTCAGACGTTTTGGCTCCCGAACTATCGAAAACCGGAAGCAAGTGATCCGGTCTGCGAACGTTCTTTGGAATCCGAACATCCAACAGGGCTTCCGTAGCTTCTGATTGGCTGCAGGCGCTTCCTGCAGCCAATCGGAAGCCGCGCTTTGGTTTCTGAACGTTTTGGACGTCAAGTGGACTCCCGGAACAGACTCTGTTCGAGTTCCAAGGTACGACTGTACTGTTTAGAAGTGTGTTTTCGGGGGGGAAGAGACTACAACACCCTCCACACAGATATCATTGTCTCCCTATTTTTCTTGTTGTTCGGTCTTCGCCTAGAAACTGACATGGAGGTCGAATCAACACGATATCAACATCTGCCGGATGAAAGGAAAGCACGAGGTAAGTCTGTTTTGCAGCAGCTTACAATGCCAAGTTCACATATAAATGCACTTACCTGTATTAGTGGGGGAAATAGCATGCAAAAAATGTGTCGTTTTAGGGGAAATTGCTTTGGGGAAATGTGTTTACAGTGGCACCTTGGTTCCCGAACGCCTCCGTTGTTGTGCGTTTCGGTTCTCAAATGCCGAAAACCCAGAAATAAATGCTTCTGTTTTCAAACATTTTTCAGAACCCAAACATGCGACACACTTTCTGCTGAGTGCAATAAGGTTTGCAACCAATGGGAAGCCGCCCCCCAGTTCTCGAACGTTTTGGAAGCTGAACGGGCTTCTGGAACGGATTTGTTCGAGATCCGAGGTAGCCCCTGTATTAGGCAAAATTGCACACCGAATGGTGTCTATCTAGGAAAAGGATCTAGGAGTCTTGGTTGACCACAAACTTGACATGAGCCAACAGTGTGATGCGGCAGCTAAAAAAGCCAATGCAATTCTGGGCTGCATCAATAGGAGTATAGCATCTAGATCAAGGGAAGTAATAGTGCCGCTGTATTCTGCTCTGGTCAGACCTCACTTGGAGTACTGTGTCCAGTTCTGGGCACCACAGTTCAAGAAGGACACTGACAAACTGGAACGTGTCCAGAGGAGGGCAACCAAAATGGTCAAAGGCCTGGAAACGATGCCTTATGAGGAACGGCTAAGGGAGCTGGGCATGTTTAGCCTGGAGAAGAGGAGGTTACGGGGTGATATGATAGCCATGTTCAAATATATAAAAGGATGTCATATAGAGGAGGGAGAAAGGTTGCTTTCTGCTGCTCCAGAGAAGCGGACACGGAGCAATGGATCCAAACTACAAGAAAGAAGATTCCACCTAAACATTAGTAAGAACTTCCTGACAGTAAGAGCTGTTCGACAGTGGAATTTGCTGCCAAGGAGTGTGGTGGAGTCTCCTTCTTTGGAGGTCTTTAAGCAGAGGCTTGACAACCATATGTCAGGAGTGCTCTGATGGTGTTTCCTGCTTGGCAGGGGGTTGGACTCGATGGCCCTTGTGGTCTATTCCAACTCTATGATTCTATGATTCTAGGAGAAATTTGCCCTAAGATGCCAATGAATTTGCATGGGGACTTTTTAAAAAATAAAAAAAAAGTTTGCAAACAGATGTGGAAATGTGCGGAGCTGAAGGTAAGATTGGGAAAATAAGAAACTTGAACCTTATCAGGAAGAGGAGACCCAGGGAACAGCTGGTCAGGAATCTGCACTTATGTTTTGCGATGCTTTTTAACATCCAGGGCTAACATAACTGAAGCCATGCTCTGAAGAAAGCTGGACTCAGCAGCTTGAAGAAATCATTACGCTTGCCAGTAATGACATCTTTTGCATAATTGGTTCTGCCACTCACAGTGTGTCTTCGTGTTGTACACTCAAGTGTGTTCAGAGCACCTAGATTTCGCCCCCCACCCTCAATCTCGCATCTAAAGCATTACTGGGCACAGAGTTTCCCCCCTCAACATTCTCATATGTCTGCAAAACTCTGCAGAGTCTCCGATACCCTAGCTTTGAGGAACTGCAGCTTAACTAGGTCTGCCATTTCCGTCAGAAATTGCGTCTGGGCGGAATTTCCAAAAATCGGTAAAAATGTCCAGGGAAACCCAGGCGTATGGCAACCGGTGTCAGGAGTGTTGGTTTTTTGGCGAATTTCCTTAAAAATAGCTGAAAAACATCAACTTCCTATGGAAAAGCAAGACATTCCGGGATCAAGTCAAAAACTTGGGATGGCTTCTGTAAATCCAGGACTTTTTGTTGTTAAGTCGTTTAGTCGTGTCCAACTCTTCGTGACCCCCTGGACCAGAGCACGCCAGGCCCTCCTGTCTTCCACTGCCTCCCACAGTTTGGTCAAACTCATGCTGGTAGCTTCGAGAACACTGTCCCACCATCTCGTCCTCTGTCGTCCCCTTCTCCTTGTGCCCTCCATCTTTCCCAACATCAGGGTCTTTTCCAGGGAGTCTTCTCTTCTCATGAGGTGGCCAAAGTCTTGGAGCCTCAGCTTCAGGATCTGTCCTTCCAGTGAGCACTCAGGGCTGATTTCCTTCAGAATGGATGGGTTTGATCTTCTTGCAGTCCATGGGACTCTCAAGAGTCTCCTCCAGCACCAGAATTCAAAAGCATCCATTCTTTGGCGATCAGCCTTCTTTATGGTCCAGCTCTCACTTCCATACATCACTACTGAATCCAGGACTGCCCCTGGAAAATAGGGAGATCCTAGTGTGGTCCTTTGCTTTTGAATAGGATGCGCTGATTTTTAGGGACTCCTGGCCAATTTCTGCAGGTGTTTGGACGTCTCGCTCTAGAGTGACTCATCCCTATAAATGGGTCCGCATTTCACAGAAATGGGGCAGGAGCGACTAAGGCCTTCCTAATCGCCAGGATATTTTCAAACTGAGCTTTGCAATAATAGGGACTAGGAGACTGCATAAAACAGAGGTCTTCAACCTTTCTGAGTCCATGGCTCCCTTGACCAACGACAGTGATACCTCTGTTTTTGAACGTACAGTACAGTACTACCTCGGGTTACAGACGCTTCAGGTTACAGACGCTTCAGGTTACAGACTCCTCTAACCCAGAAATAGTACCTCAGGTTAAGAACTTTGCTTCAGGATGAGAACAGACATCGCACGGTGGCGGCAGCAGGAGGCCCCATTAGCTAAAGTGGTACCTCAGGTTAAGAACAGTTTCAGGTTAAGAACAGACCTCCAGAACGAATTAGGTTCTTAACCTGAGGTACCACTGTAATCCATTCTGGCAATCGTCTGGTGTCATTGTGATGTTAGGTGATTGACAGGTGGGCAGCCCCGCCTCCTGTCAAATCTAGTAGGCGAGGGAAGGGGAAACAAAAGAACTGGCCCGCTGGCTGGATCCACCCCTTCTTCGGTGCATCTCTGAGGTTCTCTCATTCCAGCATCTCTGTCTCTCCTTTTGTACCTCGCCCAGCTGATCGGGGATCATGTGACCACGGTGACAAGGCCATGTTTTCAAGTAGTCAATGGCAGTGGCTCTCTGATAGCCCCACAGATCCGAAACTCAAAAATGGGAATGTACATTTTGCTCTGCAGTCGTTTGATTACGGCCAGCGGCCAGGATCAAGATAAAAAACACCGACGAGAAAACTTAAAAGCTCGGAACAAAATAAAAGAGTACAGAATACAGTGGTACCTCGGTTTCTCAAACGTAATCCATTCCAGAAGATTGTTCGAGTTCCGAAATGTTCAAAAACCGAGGCGCAAAGGGCTGACAGCAAATTCAATTGAGAAGATTGAAAAACATGCAGCAGTAGCTGTTTCGACTTCCGAGGCGCGTTCAAAAACGGAAGCATTTACTCCTGGGTTTTCGGCGTTCGTGTTCCGAAAGGTTCGGCAACGGAGACGTTCGAAAACCGAGGTTCCGCTGTAGAGCATTTTGCTCTATTTCAAAGACCAAATTACCACAGGGATTAACTTTGTGTTCCTGTGAAGTGTTTCGTCACATCCTTTAAATAGGCCGCTAAAAGAGTTTGCAACCCAGCCTGCTTGCCCTGACACACACTTACCTCAGTCGCAAGGTGCCTGAAATCCCTGATCCGCAGCTGCAGGCAAGGATACTCCCCAGAGTTTTGAATCCTTTCGGGATGTCTCCTGGGAAAGTCTGGCTCTTCTCCCTCGCACTCGGCCCAGGGAGGCGTTAATAGAATCTGGAAATTGGATTTCGCACCGATTATGAGATGTGTCTGTTCCGATCAACAGACCAGAAATAATTAATTACAAAACCAATTATACGAGCCTCTTAATAAATCACGTTGGATATAAAATGTTTGCCGGGAGCTGAAGGGAGAGTGTGAAACACGGCGCGCAGGTCCCAGAGAGGCTCCAGTCTGGGCCATCCATAGACTTTCCCTGGGAGAACAGAGAGCAGTGGGGGTCAGAGGGTGAAAAATTAAACAGGGTTTAATTTCTTGGGCTCCATGATCACCTCAGATGGTGACAGCAGCCACGAAATTAAAAGATGCCTGCTTCTTGGGAGAAAAGCGATGACAAACCTAGACAGCATCTTAAAAAGCAGAGACATCACCTTGCCGACAAAGGTCCATATAGTTAAAGCTATGGTTTTCCCAGTAGTGATGTATGGAAGTGAGAGCTGGACCATAAAGAAGGCTGATGGCCGAAGAATGGATGCTTTTGAATTCTGGTGCTGGAGGAGACTCTGGAGAGTCCCATGGACTGCAAGAAGATCAAACCTCTCCATTCTGAAGGAAATCAGCCCTGAGTGCTCACTGGAAGGACAGATCCTGAAGCTGAGGCTCCAAGACTTTGGCCACCTCAGGAGAAGAGAAGACTCCCTGGAAAAGACCCTGATGTTGGGCAAGATGGAGGCCACAAAGAGAAGGGGACAACAGAGGACGAGATGGTGGGACAGTGTTCTCGAAGCTGCTAACATGAGTTTGACCAAACTGCGTGAGGCAGTGGAAGACAGGAGGGCCTGGCGTGCTCTGGTCCAGGGGGTCACGAAGAGTCGGACACAACTAAACGACTAAACAACAACAACAAATTTGCCAAACATGAAATGCCAGAGGCTGCCCTGTGGTCCTTCTCCAAATCCTAGGTATATTTGGCTGGGGGCGGGAGGGAGAGAAATCCCGTTCAGTTTGCATTTCAAGGCGAAATGACCAAATGCACGCTTTTCCGAAACCAGGTGCAAACCAGCTTTTGAAAGTTCTAGTTCTCCGAATTTCGCGTCACAGTTCTCCAACCAAGCAGAGAAATGCACATGCTTATGAAAAAGGCACATATTCGATTGGGGTAAAAATGAGGAACCCATACTGATAGCTTCATAACTCCAGATCCTCCAACATTTCTCTGATGAAATTAGGGGCATCTTATTCCATCCCCTCCAACATTTCTCCAGTGAAAATAGGGGCATCTTATTCCATCCCCTCCAACATTTCTCCAGTGAAAATAGGGACATCTTATTCCATCCTCTCCAACGTTTCTCCAGTGAAAATAGTGACGTCCTATTCCATCCCCTCCAACATTTCTCTGAGGAAAATAGGGACATCCTATTCCATCCCCTTCAACATTTCTCTGAGGAAAATAGGGACGTCCTATTCCATCCCCTTCAACATTTCTCTGATGAAAATAGGGACGTCCTATTCCATCCTCTTCAACATTTCCCAAATGAAAATAGTGACATCCTATTTCATCCCCTCCAACATTTCCCCGATGAAAACAGGGACGTCCTAAGAAAAAGCAGGACATTCTGCGATCAAATCAGAAACCGGGACGGCTTCTGTAAATCCAGGACTGTCCCTGGAAAATAGGGGCACATGGAGGGTCTCCATTTCTGGGGACTAAAACACACACGAGCCATTTTTCCTCCCTGCCTCCCACCCTGGCAGGGATTATGGCTTCGAAAGATGAAGTAGCGATGGTAGCAGGAAGTGGGGAAGTGAGCGGAGTTTGCGAGGGGGGGGGAATGGCTCACCCAACCCCTTTCCTCTCTCTCTTTCTCTCTCTGGCCTGTTCGGAAACCATGGAAACAGAGAGGGAAGAAAGGTGCTTGGATGGGAGAGCAAAGAGAGAGGATGAAAACTCACAATAGAAACACAAAGGTCTGTGCTAGAGCAGGAGAGTGAAGGAGAGGTAGCAAGCTTGGAGCCAAATAGATGGCCACAGAGATGGGGGGCGGGAGCGAGAAAGGTGTCTTTCCCCATTTATTACCAACAGTATTATTACTACTGGTACCCGCACGAGATGTCAAGAGTGAGGTGCAAATGTCAAGATATCGCCAACAGCAAGTTTTTTTTAAAAAAAGCACAACCTGAAACCAGGGACAAGATGAGAGACTCCATTTTGCTCAGGTGCTGGACCTCAGTGTCCGGGTAGAACGATGGGGGTGGAGATGCTCCTTCAGGTATACTGGACCGAGGCCATTCAGGGCTTTAAAGGTCAGCACCAACACTTTGAATTGTGCTCAGAAACGTCCTGGGAGCCAATGTAGGTTAGGGTTAGGCCCTCGGTGCTGGACCTCAGTGTCCGGGCAGAATGATGGGGGTGGAGATGCTCCTTTAGGTGTACTGGACCGAGGCTTCATTGTAGCATCTTAGGGCAAATTTCACCGAATATCTGCATGTTCTGTGTGTATTTTTTCCCCTTCTAATACTGTACTAGAGTTGCCATATTTCAAAAAGTGAAAATCAGGGCACAAAAATTCTTGAGCTTTTTTTTTTTTTTTTGTAATATCTAAAAAAAAAGAAAGAAGAGTTTTTGAACTATTTTTAGTGAAATGTGACAAAATCTACACTTTTGGATTTTCCTGGACATTTCAGCAATTTCTGCCCAGGTGCTGTTTACAAAAGCCGAATTCTGTTTACGCTCTGGACGTATGGAAACCCTGTCTAATGCACACACTTTTGCAAAGCAATTCCCTCTGTATAATGCATCTTTCTATTCTGTTTTCCCTAATACAGTGGTACCTCAGGTTACATACGCTTCAGGTTACAGACTCTGCTAACCCAGAAATAGTGCTTCAGGTTAAGAACTTTGTTCAGGTTGAGAACAGAAATCGTGCTCCGGCAGTGCAGCGGCAGCAGGAGGCCTCATTAGCTAAAGTGGTGCTTCAGGTTAAGAACAGTTTCAGGTTAAGAATGGACCTCTGGAACGAATTAAGTACTTAACTTGAGGTACCACTGTATACACATTTTCCTACCTTACTATATGAATGCATATTTCTTCCCCAGGGAACTACATTACAAAAATTCAGAAAAGTGCAAATTCTAACAGAATGGCTCTGATTCGGTTTGCAAAGCGCAGGTTTAGTAGGGTCGCTTGCAGATGCGAACTGGACTGAATTTGGCCCTGCACCTGTCAGCACGGGGCGCTGAGCTTGCTATTAGGGGGAGTAAAAATGATGGTTATAATAGAAGCGTTTTGCTTGTTCAGAAGGAGTCCTGGCTTGTTTTTATGAGGTGTCTGGTGGGGACAAGAAAAGAAGCGTCGGAGACTCAATCTGACCTGGGCCTCGCCTGCCTTCAGCCCCCTATACGGGCTCGCTTCCCGTCTAGGCCAGCATAGTAACATTGCGTGGCGAGTTCCCGACCCCCTCCCCAGGTGGAAATAATGACACATGACACAATTATTAAGGTTAATGGGCTAAAAAAAGGCCACAACTTTATTGGTTAGGCACGATATTGGCTTAGGCATTGGTCCTAACCGACTACAGTGGTGCCTCGCAAGACGAAATTAATTCGTTCCGCAAGTCTCTTCGTCTTGCGAGTTTTTCGTCTTGCGATGCACGGTTTCCCATAGGAATGCATTGAAAATCAATTAATGCGTTCCTAGGGAAACCGCCTTCAGACCAGGTCCGGGGACAGACTGTCCCCGGACCTCTTCTGAAGGCTGGGGGGGGGACTAGGGCTTTTCTTCCCACCCCCAGCATTTTAAAAAACCCCGGGACAGCGGAGGACTTCTCCGCTGTCCGGGGCGATCTTAAAATGCTGGCGGGCGGCATCTTAAAATCGCCCCAGGACAGCGGAGGACTTCTCCGCTGTCTGGGGCGATTTAAAAGCCCCTGGGAAGGCAGGCAGGGGGGGACAAAGACTTTTGCCCCCCGCCTGCCTTCAGAAGAGGTCCTGGACCTCTTCTGAAGGCGGGCGGGGGGCGAAAGTCTATGCTCCCCCCCGCCTGCCTTCAAAAGCCGTCCGGGACAGCGGAGAAACACAGCGTGTTTCTCCGCTCTCCCGGGAAGGCAGGCAGGGGGGAGCAAAGACTTTCACCCCCCGCCTGCCTTCAGAAGAGGTCCAGGACCTCTTCTGAAGGCGGGCGGGGGGCGAAAGTCTATGCTCCCCCCTGCCTGCCTTCAAAAGCCGTCCGGGACAGCGGAGAAACGCGCTGCGTTTCTCCACTCTCCCGGGAAGGCAGGCAGGGGGGAACAAAGACTTTCGCCCCCCGCCCGCCTTCAGAAGGTGTTCCCTCCCCGCCGCCCGGCTTCGGAGCATCGTTCCGAAGCCGGGCGGCGGGGGCAGGTGTTCCCTCCCCGCCGCCCGGCTTCGGAGCATCGTTCCGAAGCCGGGCGGTGGGGGCAGGTGTTCCTGCCCCACCGCCCAGCTTCGGAGGAGCCTTCCGAAGCCCGGCGGCGGCGGGAGGAGGTGTTCCCGCCCCGCCGCCAGGCTTCGGAGGAGGTCCGAGGACAGTGGGGAAGACGCGCTGCGCTTCCCCGCTGTCCCGGATATTTCCCTATGGGCTGTCGTCTTGCGAAGCAAGCCCATAGGGAAATTCGTCTTGCGAAGCGCCTCCAAAACAGAAAACCCTTTCGTCTAGCGGGTTTTCCGTCTTGCGAGGCGTTCGTCTTGCGAGGTACCACTGTATATCCGCCTCCAGCCCGTCTGCTTGAAGTCCAGGAAGGGTTAACCACCAGTAGGGGGAGTCCTGCTGATGCACATCAACTAGGGACTCCTCCAGGGTCACCGATAGGGAGCGTGCCTTAGGCCCTCACCTCCCTAGGCTTTGGACAGGGCCACACACCCCGGAATCCTTTAGTGGACTACCCTTCAATATGTGGGGCAGGTGATGGCACTACCTCCCCTCTTCCATCTACAGAACAATAACAGTGTCTAACCGCCAATACCCAGAAAGTTGTGGCAATTTGCTACGAGATAGGCGAAAAACCAAGAGGCTGGTGCCAATTTGCCAAGTGGGAAAATTCCTACCAGGCCCCTCAACAGCAACCAACTGAGGTCCATAGCAAGGTCAAAGAACGAAACCTTATAGGGTGGGAAAACAGGAACAGCTGGCGGGCGGCAAAGAGGGAGATCCCCGGCCACGTCCCGCCTATATAGGGCAGGCCACGCCCCCCGAACCTGCCGATTGGCCAGCTAGGGGGTGATGCGGCCGGGAATCCCCCCAATCGCGCAGGGTTGGCTTCCACCCACCGCGCACATGGAGGGGCCATGAAGCCCGCAACCCCACCACCTCCTGAAGGCGGAAGTGGCCTTGCAAACTCTGAGCATGTCAGGAGTGCTTTTCGCTTTGCATCCTTCATCGCTTCGCTTCTCCTCCCCAGGCAGAGTGCCGGAATTTTATCAAAGTGCTTCTGCTCCGCAACGACAACCTCCTCTTCGTCTGCGGCACCAACGCTTTCAATCCCATCTGCGCCAACTACACCGTGAGTACCAGGAACTTGGGGCCAGCCAGGCAGTGCCCGTAACTCATCGCTCACCCCAGTTTGCACACTGCACACTGCTCAAATATCCCTTGCTCCCCAACTAGTCTGGCTCCTCGAGAGATCCGCAGTTTGTCTAACTATCTTTTCCTCCCACCAGATGGACACATTGGAGCCCACGGGAGACAACATCAGTGGGATGGCTCGATGCCCCTATGACCCCAAGCACGCCAACGTCGCTCTCTTCACAGGTCGGTTCAGAGCACGGAGGGAAGTATTTTGACCTGGTTATTATGACTCATAGCTGTCAACTTACAGATTTGAAAATAAGGGACCAGCAGCCTCAAAAATAAGGGGTCAGCAGCCAAAATAAGGGATTTTCCGGACACAGGTATATTCAACTTCTGAGCCCCTCCGAGCCAAAGGCAGAAAGCCCAGCCAGCTGCCAAACAAAGCCCCAAGCGGTGGTTCCCACAGCGCAGCAACCCAGCTAAGGGGATGCAGCAAGGAAAACCACCGTCACCTCTCCGCTGGGAAGCGCTGAGCAAAGGCGAGTTCCCAGGCAACGCTGCCAATTTGATCGGCACAAGGCATGCAAGCTCCACCCCCCAGTCGTTCTTAGACTCCTTATTGGGTGAGCAACACAGCCAAGCAACACAGTTGGAGCCTCCCTCCTCCCTGGCCGGCAGGGAGGGACGGAGAGGAGCTGCTTCCTTTGAAACCCAGGAAATTTAAGGGACATCATCAATAAGGGACAGCAGCAGGACACAGCGCTGGCATAAGGGACTTTCCCGCCAAATAAGGGACGGTTGACAGCTATGTTATGACTCAGCAAGCAGAAACAGCATTTATACCTCACCTTTCCTGCAAGGAGCTTGAGTCTGCCTGCATTCACCCATTCCCTGCCCCCAGCCCTGCAAATATTTGTGGGTTTCCTTAAGCATCACAACAACCATGAGGGGTAGGTTAGACTGGGGACACACTCAAGGCCACCAAGCAAGAATTTGAACCAGGGTCTCCTGAAGCCTGGTCTCACATGCACAAAGGATGAGGTCTTTCAACGACAGAGAAGCAACCCAGTCTCTGGTTCCTATGGAGACAACGAAGTGGGTTATCTGTGGTCCTTGAGATACAATGCGTTTTGGTGTGTGTTGGCAGAGGGATGACCCCGCTTGTTAAGAATCATAGATGCCTTCCCTGCCTCTGTTTGGTCCCATGTGCCCAACCTTAAATTAAAAACACACCTACAGAGTCGCATGGTTTCTAATAAATATATTAGAATATATACCTGTATACCTGAAGGAGCGTCTCCACCCCCATCGTTTAGCCCGGACACTGAGATCCAGCGCCGAGGGCCTTCTGGCGGTTCCCTCATTGCGAGAAGTGAGGTTACAGGGAACCAGGCAGAGGGCCTTCTCGGTAGTGGCGCCCGCCCTGTGGAGCGCCTTCCCTTCAGATGTGAAGGAAATAAGCAGCTATCTGCTATCTTCTCTTAAAAACTGGGACGCGGATGGCGCTGTGGGTTAAACAACAGAGCCTAGGACTTGCTGATCAGAAGGTTGGCGGTTCGAATCCCCACGACGGGGTGAGCTCCCATTGCTCGGTCCCTGCTCCTGCCAACCTAGCAGTTCGAAAGCACATCAAAGTGCAAGTAGATAAATAGGTACCACTCCAGCGGGAAGGTAAACGGCGTTTCCGTGCGCTGCTCTGGTTTGCCAGAAGCGGCTTAGTCATGCTGGCCACATGACCCGGAAGCTGTACGCCAGCTCCCTAAGCCAATAAAGCGAGATGAGCGCCGCAACCCCAGAGTCGGCCACGACTGGACCTAATGGTCAGGGGTCCCTTTACCTTTACCTTTATCTCTTTAAAAGACATCTGAAGGCAGCCTTGTTTAGGGATGTTTTTTAATATTTGATGCTGTATTGTTTTTAACACTCGATTGGAAGCCACCCAGAATGGCTGGGTAAACTCAGCTGGGTGGGCGGGGTATAAATTATTATTATTATTATTATTATTATTATTATTATTATTATTATTATTGAAATGGGTTGAGTTGGCATTTTGAGGCAAGCCTGCTTAATTCAGACTTCCCAAAATAATATGGGAACTGAAATCTGCACATCTCTGAAATTTGTTCTGCAGGCATGTCATGTGTACAAAGAGTGTTGTTTGCACAGACCTATGGGACGCGGGTGGCGCTGTGGTCTAAACCACTGAGCCTCTTGGGCTTGCCAGTTGGAAGGTCGGCGGTTCAAATCCCCGTGACGGGGTGAGCTCCTGTTGCTCTGTCCCAGCTCCTGCCAACCTAGCAGCTTGAAAGAACACCAGTGCAAGTAGATAAATAGGTACCACTGTGGTGGGAAGGGAAACGGTGTTTCTGTGCACTTTGGTTTCCATCACGGTGTCCTGTTGCACTAGAAGCGGTTTAGTCCTGCTGGCCACATGACCTGGAAAGCTGTCTGCGGACAAACGCCGGCTCCCTCGGCCTGAAAGCGAGATGAGCGCCGCAACCCCATAGTCGCCTTTAGCTGGACTTAACCATCCAGGGGTCCTTTACCTTTTACCTTTTTTATTGAATTGGGGACCTTTCATACGCAGGGCACGAACTCTCTGGCTGAGCTAGAGCATTTTCTCTGGCGGTTCCAACTTCCGGGCGCCGCGCAACATGCCACCTGGCGTTATTTACCGCTCCTCTCTCACACAACACCTCATATCTACCCTTCCCTGACAGGTGGAATGCTTTTCACCGCCACCGTGACGGATTTCCTGGCCATCGACGCAGTCATTTACCGCAGCCTGGGAGACAGCCCGACTCTTCGCACAGTCAAGCACGACTCCAAGTGGTTCAAAGGTGCTTTTTCGATTCGCTCCGCGGTGGGGGGACGCCGGGGGGAGGCAGGAGTGGGAAAAGCCGCTCCGTTCGCTCATAACGTGAGGCCGCGCGCTCAACGGATGAATCGGTGTCTTGACGAAATCAACTGAGGCTTCTTTAAATTGGCTGGCAAATCGGAGTAAAATACGTGGGGTTTTTTTGTTTTGCTTTAACTATTGAACTATTGAAAGTTCAGAAAGTGCATAATTATATGTGCACTAAACAGGGTGAGAGGGACGCAGGTGGCGCTGTGGGTTAAACCACAGAGCCTAGGACTTGCTGATCAGAAGGTCTGTGGTTCGAATCCTCACGACGGGGTGAGCTCCCGTTGCTCGGTCCCTGCTCCTGCCATCTAGCAGTTTGAAAGCACGTCAAAGTGCAAGTAGATAAATAGGTACTTGCTTTGGCAAGAAGGTAAACGGCGTTTCCGTGCGCTGCTCTGGTTCTCCAGAAGCGGTTTAGGCCTGCTGGCCCCATGACCCGGAAGCTGTACGCCGGCTCCCTCGGCCTGTAGACCGAGATGAGCGCGCAACCCCAGAGTCGGTCACGACTGGACCTAATGGTCAGGGTTCCCTTTACCTTTAAACAGGGTGAGACGTAAATAAAAGGGAGAAAAAGAACCCATGTAAAAGGGAAAATAAAGTGGGGAGGGGGGAACCAAAACTGTATATTTTACAAGGTTGTTATTGTACTTCACCAGATTTTAACCTATTACAGTACACTGGTACCTCGTTCTGGAGGTCCGTTCTTAACCTGAAACTGTTCTTAACCTGAGGTACCATTTTAGCTAATGGGGCCTCCTGCCGCCGCTGCACTGCTGCCGCCCGATTTCTGTTCTCATCCTGAAGCAAAGTTCTTAACCCGAGCTACTATTTCTGGGTTAGCGGAGTCTGTAACCTGAAGCGTCTGTAACTTGAAGCGTATGTAACCCGAGGTACCACTGTATTTGCAAGAATGGGTCCCAAATATCACAGAATTTGTCCATGGCATCTGTGTTTATATGCAAGTTGTTTATATATTGCGAGTTTGCATAAGTCTTCAATCCAAATATAGAAGTGAGCCACATTTTTATTTTTCCAGTTCATCAGTACAGTACAGTACAGCGGGAGGCCCCGTTAGCTAAAGTGGTACCTCAGGTTAAGAGCAGTTTCAGGTTAAGAACGGACCTCCAGAATGAATTAAGTTCTTAAGCAGAAGTACCACTCTACAGCGATAAATGATATGCAATGTAAATAAGAATTTAAAACACTCAAAGGTGACAAGTGGTGGTGGAGGGGAGTCAAATGGTGGTACTTCATCCTTTTTTCTTTCTTACCCTTTCCCTTTACTCTCTGGTTTTGGAGGTTAAGTGTGTACACCTTATTGTTTGTTTGTTTGTAAATACCTCAGGATGCAAACAGGATCCATTCCGGAGCCCCTTTCGCATCCTGAAGCGAACGCAACCCGCGACTGCGCATGCACGGGTCGCGATTCACCACTTCCGCGCATGCGCGTGACATCATTTTGACCATCTGCTGCGCAAGCGGCAAAACCCAGAAGTAACGCGCTCCGTTACTTCCGGATTGCCCGGAGCACAAACCAAAAGCGCTCAACCTGAAGCGTATTCAAGCCGAGGTATGACTGTCTGCTTAAATAAAGCATTAAACCATACAAATAATAAAAATAACCTCCTTTATCTGGACTCTCCCCACCCAGAACCATATTTCGTCCGTGCCGTGGAGTGGAAAAGCCATGTCTATTTCTTCTTCAGGGAGATCGCAATGGAGTTCAACTACTTAGAGAAGGTAAGATGGTGAGAGGAGGCCTACATGGGCGTTGTTGACCAGGCCTGGCGCCAGCACCCAAGGAACCCTTGGACCCAGATTCCTCTGACCCTCCTTGCTGTCCCCACAATGTAGGTGGTGGTGTCTCGGGTGGCCAGAGTTTGCAAGAACGACATGGGCGGCTCTCAGCGGGTTCTGGAGAAGCAGTGGACCTCCTTCCTCAAGGCCCGCCTCAACTGTTCTGTCCCGGGAGACTCCCATTTCTACTTCAATGTCATCCAGTCTGTCACGGACATCCTGGAGATCGATGGCCGGCCGGTCGTGCTCGCCGTCTTTTCCACGCCTGCCAACAGGTCAGTGGTGGTTGGGAAACTCAGGGGCCCAGATCTGAATTGGGGTGAGGAGCTCTCCGGGACTCAGCCCTCAAAACATCTAGAGTTCCTTCTGCCTTGAGTTTTTGCACTGCACACTGCATTAGTTTACACTGGTATTATTATTATTATTATTATTATTATTATTATTATTATTATTTGGTCATCTGAAGATCATAGGACAGTTTACAGTATAATAACACAACATTATTTATTTATTTATACATACATACATACATACATAGGGACGTGGGTGGCGCTGTGGGTTAAACCACAGAGCCTAGGACTTGCCGATCAGAAGGTCGGTGGTTTGAATCCCCGCGACGGGGTGAGCTCCCGTTGCTCGGTCCCTGCTCCTGCGAACCTAGCAGTTCGAAAGCACGTCAAAATGCAAGTAGATAAATAGGTACCGCTCCGGCGGAAAGGTACCGGTAAATGGCGTTTCCGTGCGCTGCTCTGGTTCACCAGGAGCAGCTTAGTCATGCTGGCCACATGACCCGGAAACTGTACACCGGCTCCCTCGGCCAGTAAAGCGAGATGAGCGCCGCAATCCCAGAGTCCGTCACGACTGGACCTAATGGTCAGGGGTCCCTTTACCTTTACCTTATTGAGGCTGAAGGAGAGCAACGTGCCTACAATTTGCCATATTGTGAATTCACAGCAAAGCACTCTCTCTCTCTCTCTCTCTTTCTTCTCTCTCTCTCTTCTTTCTTTCTTTCTTTCTCTCTTTCTCTCTTTCTCTCTTTCTCTCTTTCTCTCTTTCTCTCTTTCTCTCTTTCTCTCTCTTTCTCTCTCTTTTTCTCTTTTTCTCTTTCTCCAGCATACCAGGCTCTGCAGTCTGTGCCTTTGACATGGCCCAAATCGCCTCCGTCTTTGAGGGGCGCTTCCGCGAGCAGAAATCCCCCGAATCCGTTTGGACCCCTGTGCCAGAGGAACTGGTGCCAAAACCACGGTGAGTGAAACTGACAGCTGCCACGTTCTTTCAAGCCACCAGAGAAATAATAATAATAATTTATTATTTGTACCCCACCCATCTGGCTGGGTTTCCCCAGCCACTCTGGGCGGCTTCCACAAAGACCAGAAATACAGTAAAAATTTCCCTGAACAGGGCTGCCTTCAGATGTCTTCTGAATGTCAAATAGTTGTTTATCGCTTTGACATCTGGTGGGAGGGTGTTCCACAGGGCGGGCGCCACTACCGAGAAGGCCCTCTGCCTGGTTCCCTGTAGCTTTGCTTCTCGCAGCGAGGGAACCGCCAGAAGGCCCTCGGCGCTGGACCTCAGTGTCCGGGCAGAAGGATGGAGGTGGAGATGCTCCTTCAGAGATACTGGACCGAGGCCGTTTAGGGCTTGAAAAGTCAACACCAGCACTTTGAATTGTGCTTGGAAACATACTGGGAGCCAATGTAGGTCTTTCAAGACTGGTGTTATATGGTCTCGGCAGCCACTCCCAGTCACCAGTCTAGCTTCCGCATTCTGGATTAGTTGTAGTTTCTGGGTCACCTTCAAATGTAGCCCCACGTAGAGTGCATTGCAGTAGTCCAAGCGGGAGATAACCAGAGCATGCACCACTCTGGCAAGACAGTCTGCGGGCAGGGAGGGTCTCAGCCTGCGTACCAGATGGAGCTGGTAGACAGCTGCCCTGGACACAGAATTGACCTGCGCCTCCATGGACAGCTGTGAGTCCAAAATGACTCCCAGGCTGCACACCTGGTCCTTCAGGGGCACAGTTACCCCATTCAGGACCAGGGAGTCCTCCTCACCAGTGAAAGCTGCAACAGAACCGTCGCGTTCAGAGGTGGCACCGGGGACAAACAGCACGTAAGGAGATGTCGTTACAGATCTTCACGTCCTGCCCCAGGGCTTCCGAGAGGCGCTTGGTCAGTGACCGCAGATACCAAGTTACTGGTCCTTTGGTCTCCCCTAGCAGGGCTGTTCCTTATTTATGTCCTCAAAGGGAACTCCCTCCACATGGGCCGAGCTGCTGGGATGGCACGGGATGTTCACAAACACCCAAACAGTGCCAGGAAAGGGATCTTGGTCTGGAAGTTGCTCTCTTCGGATGCTAAGAAGGGGGCGTGCAGGAACAGACTGCTTTGGGAAACCGGGCTCTGGACCAGACGATCCCTTCGTCTGATCTAGCAAGGCTTTTCTTATACAGCGGTACCTCGGTTTTTGAATGTAATCCGTTCCGGAAGACCGTTCGGATTCTGAAACGTTCGAAAACCAAAAACTTAATACGGAAGCCTCAATGCAGAAAACTCAATATGGAAAACTCAATACAGAAGCCTCAAAATAATAATAATAATAATAATAATAATAATAATAATAATAATAATAATAAATTTTTATTTATATCCCGCCCTCCCCAGCCGAGGCCAGGCTCAGGAGGGAGTCAGGCTGTGCCCTGGCCAAAGGCCTGGTGGAACAGCTCTGTCTTGCAGACCCTGCGGAAAGATGTCAAGTCCCACAGGGCCCTAATTCCTTGTGGCAGAGCGTTCCACCAGATGGGAGCCACAGCCGAAAAAGCCCTGGCTCTGGTTGAGGCCAGCCTAATATGAAAAACTCAATATGGAAGCCACGTGGCATGTTCGAAAACCAAAGCATTTACTTCCGGGTTTACAGCATTCGAAAAACCATAATAATAATAATAATAATAATAATAATAATAATAATAATAATTTATTACTTATACTCCGCCACTCTGGGTGGCTTCCAACGAAATGTTCGTCAACAGAAACGTTCGAAAACCAAGGTACCGCTGTATCCTAATTCCGTCCCTCTTGGCTTGTTGCAGAGATGGCTGGGGATTTGAATAAGCAATGACTCATTAAAGTCTGCATAGTGAGGGAATATTAAGGATAGTAGAAAAGGATATACTGAAGAAGTATTATCCGCTAGCGAGTGATGTAGCAGAGCAGTTCCCCCTCAATATAGCCGGAAGCGAGTTTGCAGATTCGTTTGAATCTCTTACTTAAGATTATTTCCTGGTGTCCCCTTTAATCCCTCTTAAAAGAATAAAGGCGCAAGAGTCTTTCTGAGTAAAGAAATGAAAAGTTTGCTCACATTTCAGTTCACGATTTGATCCCTAAAAGGCAGGCTTGGCTTGGTAATTACACAAAGAAACGGTGAGTTCGTCTCAAATGGAGACTGAATTGATGTGAAAAATTGCAGTAAGGCAACGATGTCTTCCTGCTTGTGTCCACGCTAGGGAAACAAGGAATATTGTATTTGACCAGTGACAGATTTACATATAAGATAAACAAGCTATAGCTTAGGGCCTCACTCTCTTGGGGGCCCGAAAAAAATTAAAGGGGGATAAAAACAGGATGTACTGTATTTTTCGCTCTATAAGACGCACCAGACCACAAGACGCATCTAGTTTTTGGGGGAGGAAAACAAGAAAAATAATAATCTGAATCTCAGAAGCCAGAACAGCAAGAGGGATCGCTGTGCAGTGAAAGCAGCAATCCCTCTTGCTGTTCTGCCTTCAGGGATAGCTGCACAGCCTGCATTCGCTCCATAAGACGCACACACATTTCCCCTTTTTAGGAGGGAAAAAGTGAGTCTTATAGAGCAAAAAATACGGTACATTTCCAAAATGTAAGATAAAAAACAAATAAAATAAAATAAAACAGAACCTACATACAGCAACAGTGTTTTGTGTTGCGTAGGCTCCTATGATGTAAGTAATGGGCCCACCTGCTAGCCCGCTCCCTAAAAATATCACTGCTTTGCACATTTCTATATATAGGGTGCCTACATTCTGCATGGACTGGTTGCAACATGGGCAAATGGCTTGAGATACCTATGAGGTCCATAAATGACCATATACAGTGGTGCCTCGCAAGACGAAAAGAATCCGTTCCGCGATTCTCTTCGTCTAGCGGTTTTTTCGTCTTGCGAAGCAACCCTATTAGCGGCTTAGCGGATTAGCGGCTATTAAAGGCTTAGCGGCTTAGCTGCTAAAAGGCTATTAGCGGCTTAGCGGCTTAGAAAAAGGGGGGGGAAGCGGGGAAAAAATCGCAAGACTAGCAAGACGTTTCGTCTTGCGAAGCAAGCCCATAGGGAAAATCGTCTTGCAAAGCAACTCAAAAATGGAAAACCCTTTCGTCTAGCGGGTTTTCCGTCTTGCGAGGCATTCGTCTTGCGGGGCACCACTGTAGCATATATTCAACACACAAAAAAGCAGCAATTTGTTGTTGACAAAGGACAGCTGGACATATAAAGGGCCCCATTGCCTTCAGTAGCTTCGGGCCTCATCAAACCGAAATCCGGCATTGGACTGTGCTAATGGATTACATCCCACACGTAGTTTGTGTGCAAATCAGTGGTGTGTGGTCACATTTAGACTAGTCCCTAAATGTTCTCCTGGCACCTCCTTCCCAAAGCCCGGGAAACTTCTGCCCGGCTGAGGGAGGGAGGCACCGTGCTCACACGCCCGAAAACTGTCCCCCTACGAAATATTTCGCCTCTGTTGGGAATGATAGTGGGATGGTGAAATATACTCGGAGTCCTGCAGGGATTTCATGCTCTTTATTGCAGCTTGTAAAACAGTGACTGAATTTCCCCCCAAGCCTCAGGCTTTTATATACCATATTTTTTGCTCTATAAGACTCACTTTTTCCCTCCTAAAAAGTAAGGGGAAATGTGTGCGCGTCTTATGGAGCAAATGCAGGCTGCGCAGCTATCCCAGAAGCCAGAACAGCAAGAGGGATTGCTGCTTTCGCTGCGCAGCGATCCCTCTTGCTGTTCTGGCTTCTGAGATTCAGAATATTTTTTTCCTTGTTTTCCTCCTCCAAAAACGAGGTGCGTCTTGTGGTCTGGTGCGTCTCATAGAGCGAAAAATACGGTACATTATTTACACAATGGGTCTCGTCCGATTGGCTGATTCTGCTTCCCTCCTGGAGCCTTGATTGGTCTTCTCTTGCAAGCCAATCACTTGTTGCATTCTAGGATCCTACCTGCCTATTGTTCTAGGATCCAAGCTTAGTACATAACAGATGGGTTTGGGTGTTTCTTCTGTCGGGACATCTCAGTAGCCCCCGTCCAGCTACGAACTCACATAGCGCAGAATCTTGACTTCTGGACATTTGCCTCGCAGGCCGGGTTGTTGTGCAGCTCCGGGGATGCGCTACAATTCCTCAAGCTTCTTCCCGGACGAGATCCTCAATTTTGTCAAGACGCATCCGTTGATGGACGAGTCGGTTCCATCGCTGGGCAACGCGCCCTGGATCATCAGGACCATGACCCGGTAAGGGAGAGCTACAAAAATTTCAACGTGGGTATGTTTAGCCTGGGACGCAGGTGGCACTGTGGGTTAAACCACAGAGCCTAGGACTTGCCAATCAGGAGGCTGGCTGTTCGAATCCCCGCGACGGGGTGAGCTCCCGTTGCTCGGTCCCTGCTCCTGCCAACCTAGCAATTCGAAAGCACGTCAAAAGTGCAAGTAGATAAATAGGTACCACTCTGGCGGGAAGGTAAACAGCGTTTCCCTGCGCTGCTCTGGTTCGCCAGAAGCGGCTTAGTCCTGCTGGCCACATGACCCGGAAGCTGTAAACCGGCTCCCTCAGCCAATAAAGCGAGATGAGCGCCACAACCCCAGAGTCGGTCACGACTGGACCTAATGGTCAGGGGTCCCTTTACCTTTACCTATGTTTAGCCTGGAGAAGAATGAGGGGTTAAAGTCTGCTGACCAATTTAATCAAGAGACAGCCGGTGTATTTTTTCCAGCTGATTTACCTAATTTGGATTAATCAACTACCCAGAGCTGCTACCATCCCGTTTCCATGCAATATATATTGCAGACCTCTCTTGCGTGAATACTTTGTGCATTTTACGTGTGTGTGTGTGTGTCAGAGATGGGAAAACAAGCAGTTTCCATTAATTTCCTAAGCACCGCCGCCAAGGCGAGCTGGTTCTAATTAAATCTGTCTTAATTGATGTTTTATGTGAAATTAATCAAGCATCGTTCCTGTTGTCTCTCAAGCCAGAAATGCACACTGGGAGATATTGGGGTGGGGTCTGTGTGCATCCTTCAGCCTGTGCTTAGCCCCCCCCCAAAAAAATGGGGGGGCCCTGGACAGTGGCAGGAACGGAGGCAAATACATACACAACCACCACCAGCAAAGGACATAATTTACATCCCCATAGAGAAGAGATTCTCCATCGCAACCCTACTCCTCCCTGTAGCCCTTGGCACCTCCTATACCCCTCTCCTCGCCCGGTGCTGCTAGCGAGGCTAGCTTCACATGCAAAACAGCCAGAATTAATTGGTGGGGATAATTGGAGATTTAATGAGATGACAGAAAACTTTCCTCTAATTGACTACCCGCCGCCACCCGCTTTGCAAAGGGTAGAGCGAGCCAGCCGAGGCGGGCGTTTGAGAAGGGGTGGGTGGGATCTGGCTGATTAAACGTGTCATTGCGTTTGGCATCCACGAATGCGGTTGTTTTAGAAACAGGGGTGTGGCAGGCAGAGAATTTGGAGGAGAGGCGTGGTGCGCCTATCCTAGAAAAGTGGCTTGCAAAATTCCCTGCGAAGGGAGGGATTTTAAATATTGTGTATAGAGGGATGCGGGTGGCGCTGTGGTCTAAACCACTGAGCCTTTTGGGCTTGCCAATCAGAAGGTCAATAGTTTGAATCCCTGCGATGGAGTGAGCTCCTGTTGCTCTGTCCCAGCTCCTGCCAACCTAGCCGTTTGAAAGCACGCCAGCGCAAGTAGATAAATAGGTACCACTGCGGCGGGAAGGTAAAAGGCATTTCCATGCGCTCTGGTTTCCATCAGGGTGCCCTGTTGTGCCAGAAGTGGTTTAGTCCTGCTGGCTACATGACCCGGAAAGCTGTCTGTGGACAAACGCCAGCTCCCTCGGCCAGTCACCTTTGACTGGACTTAACCGTCTAGGGGTCCTTAACCTTTACCTTTAACTTATTACCTTTTGTGTATAGACACACACAAACAGACAGATCTCATTTCTTTTTGGCGATCCCTCAAAGCTGAGGAACATTGTCTTCCATGAACATGGTCTTAACGGTGTGTCCGTAAGTGACTGTGGAGGTCAGTTCTGGATTCACACATCCTTCCACAGTGGGGACATTGGTTTCCAGGTGGGAGTTGATCCTGGTGAGGGTTTGCCTTCCTTTAGCACGTTTCTCCCTTTTGACCTGAGTTCGAGTGTCTTCAAAGCCCTTAACACCTTTGGTAAAGGCTGCTCTCCAGTTGGAGCGCTCGCAGGCCAGTGTTTCCCAGTTGTCAGTGTTTATACTACATTTTTAAAGATTTGCCTTGAGAGAGTCTTTGAACCTCTTTTGTTGACCACCAGCGTTACACTTTCCATTTTTAAGTTCAGAATACAGTAGTTGCTTTGGAAGACGATCATCAGGCATCCGCACAACACGACCAGTCCAACGAGGTTGATGTAGAAGAATCATTGCTTCAACACTGGTGATCTTTGCTTCTTCCAGTACACTGGTACAGTGGTACCTCTGGTTACGTACTTAATTTGTTCCAGAGGTCCGTTCTTAACCTGAAACTATTCTTAACCTGAAGCACCACTTTAGCTAATGGGGCCTCCTACTGCCGCCTCGCAATTTCTGTTCTCATCCTGAAGCAAAGTTCTTAACCCGAGGTACTATTTCTGGGTTAGCGGAGCCTGTAACCTGAAGCGTCTGTAACCCGAGGTACCACTGCATTAGTTCACCTGTCTTCCCAAGTGATGTGTAAATTTTTTGGGAGTTGATATTGAAGAATCATTGCTATGACCCTGGTGGTCTTTGCTTCTTTACACACACACACACACACACACACGATAAACCCACCACCTCTGTTTCTCCGGGCAGGTATCAGCTGCGCAAGATTGTGGTGGACCCCACAGCAGGGCCCGGCAAGAACCACACCGTGGTGTTCCTGGCCTCCGACACAGGCACCGTCTTCAAGTTCCTCATCCACACCAATGTCAGCACCAGCTCTGCGACCGTAAGGGCCAGCAGCCAGAGTTTGCTGCTGGAGGAGTTCGAGACCTATCCCAGCGACAAGTAAGTTTGGCCGTGGGCAAAAGTTCTTTTGGATTTGGTGGCAAGAGCAACGCTTGTGGAGAGAAGTCTGGTGCTGTCGCTGAGCAGCAGGCTTGAATACAGAATGAAAAGCACTGAAGCAGTCCTTTAGATAAGTCCCCTGAGGCCCTTCTCTGTCTTATCCCCATCCCAGAGACATTTGGAGGCTGGCAACAAGAGAACGGGACTTTTTGGTGGTGGCCCCCCTGATTGTAGAATGCTACATGTCTGTGGGTTAAACCACAGAGCCTAGAACTTGCCGAACAGAAGGTCGGCGGTTCGAATCCCCGTGACGATGGGGTGAGCTCCCATTGCTCGGTCCCTGCTCCTGCCAACCTAGCAGTTCGAAAGCACATCAAAGTGCAAGTAGATAAATAGGTACCACTCCAGCGGGAAGGTAAACGGCGTTTCCGTGCGCTGCTCTGGTTTGCCAGAAGCGGCTTAGTCATGCTGGTCACGTGACCCGGAAGGTGTATGCCGGCTCCCTCGACCAATAAAGCGAGATGCGCGCCGCAACCCCAGATTCGGTCACGACTGGACCTAATGGTCAGGGGTCCCCTTTACCTTTACCTTAACCTAAACGGCCTCGGTCCAGTATATCTGAAGGAGGGTCTCCACCCCCATCATTCTACCTGGAAACTGAGGTCTAGCACCGAGGGCCTTCTGGCGGTTCCCTCACTGTGAGAAGCCAAGTTACAGGGAACCAGGCAGAGGGCCTTCTCAGTGGTGGCACCCGCCCTGTGGAACGCCCTCCCACCAGATGTCAAAGAGAAAAACAACTACCAGACTTTTAGAAGACATCTGAAGGCAGCCCTGTTTAGGGAAGCTTTTAATGTTTGATGTATTACAGTATTTTAATAGTTTTTTGGAAGCCGCCCAGAGTGGCTGGGGAAACCCAGCCAGATGGGGGCGGGGTATAAATAATTTATTTATTTATTTATTTATTTATTTATTTATTTATTTAGGCTGTCTGAATTGTGCATTGCTTTGTAACAAATTGTTGGGTGTCTGGACCGTAATAAAGATTGATTGATTGATTGATTGGTTGATTGATTGATTTTTCCCCTCCAGGTGCGGAAAAGACAATGTGGGTGAACGGAAACTTCTGGGCATGGAATTGGACAAGGCCACGGGGTCCCTGCTCCTGGCCTTCCCGCCCTGCGTGGTTCGTGCCCCCGTGGCCCGGTGTCAACAGCATTCCGGTTGCATAAAGTGAGTTTTCCTTTTTTTTTTTTTTTCATTTTAAAATTTTATTAATTTCATTGTTTATACATTCTGTCCATGTTTCAACACTTCTCATACATTTTGAACTTCCTTCAGCGTCATTGACATTCATTCGTATTTATATCTTTAAATCACATTCCATCTTTTCATATTGCCATTCGTTCCTCCCTTTGTGCACTATTTCTATTAAACAATACTTGTTTGTTCTTTACAGTGCCTCTTTAAATCCCACTAGCGTTGTATTTACAAAACATTTGTTCCCCAGATAACCCACAAATTTCCCCCAGTCTTCAATAAATTTTTGATCCTTTGAGTATCTTATTTTCCCTGTTAATTTGTCCAACTCGGCATACTCTAACAGTTTTGCTCTCCACTCTGCAACCGTTGGCATAAAGTGAGTTTTCCATTCCTGTTCCCATGTGCTGGGTTTTTTAACGCAGCCTCCCCCCCCCCCCCCGCCCTGACAATGGGTAGGGACAGAGGAGGAGAGTCGATTCATTTTGCATCGAAAGGCAGGCACCTTAACACCAGTAAAGTTGGCGAAAATGTATAGGATGAGGGATAAAAGATGTTGGAAATGCAAAGTGGCCGACAGGGATTTTTATCACATGTGGTGGACTTGTGATAAAGTTAAGAACTTTGGGGAGCTGATCTATAATGAACTTAAGAAAATACAGCGGTACCTCGGGTTACATACACTTCAGGTTACATACGCTTCAGCTTACAGACTCCGCTAACTCAGCTGTCTACCAGCTCCATCTATATGCAGACTGAGACCCTCCCTGGCCACAGACTGTCTCTCCAGAGTGGTCCATGCTCTGGTTATCTCCCACTTGGACTACTGCAATGCACTCTACGTGGGGCTACCTTTGAAGGTGACCCAGAAACTGCAACTAATCCAGAATTTGACTGGCTGCCAAGACCCTATAACACTGGTCTTGAAAGACCTACATTGGCTCCGAGGACATTTCCGAGCACAATTCAAAGTGTTGGTGCTGACCTTGAAAGCCCTAAATGGCCTCGGCCCAGTAGACCTGAACAAGCATCTCCACTCCCATCATCCATCCCGGCCACTGAGGTCCTGCTCCGAGGGCCTTCTGGAGATTCCCTCACTGTGAGAAGTGAGATTATAGGGAACCAGGGAGAGGGCCTTCTCAGTGGTGGCGCCTGCCCTGTGGAACATCTTCCCATCAAATGTGCTTTTAATTCTCTTGGGAGCCACCCAGAGTGGCTGGGGAAACCCAGCCAGATGGGTGGGGTATAAATAATAAATTCTTGTTGTTGTTGTTAGTCAGTGATTTTAGGATTCCTGGTTTTTTATGTCCTCGTGGTTCTCTCGCAATTTCTGTGTGTTTTTACTGACCACCACTCCCCAAAAAACCCGTCTTCCTTTCTGCCCTTCAGAAACTGCCTGGGGAGCCGTGATCCATACTGTGGCTGGACGCCAGAAGGCTCCTGTATTTTCCTGGAACAGAGCACAAGGTAATATCTGGTAGCAAATGCCCCTCTTTGATGATGATGATGATGATGATTGGGGGGGCGCGCAGATGATGATGAGGGTTACGCTTCTCCTTCTACAGAAGCTTCTACACCTGCCCCACAGAGGCTATAAAAGTATGGGTGCATGTCAAAAGGGAGCGTGTCTGTGGCTGGAGGGTTTGCTTTTGGGTGGGGTACGTGTCCCCTGCTCTGGGGCAAGGCTCAGCCAGGCTGTAGGACAGCATGGGGTTCGGGGGGGCTGCCCCACAGCGCACAGGCTGTTCTCTGGGACCCGCTTTGCTCTGAAGTTGCTCCAGGATTCTCCTACTCTGAGGAAGCTCGGGTCGTCCAGGATCTTGGTAAGAGGAGTCGTCAGATTTACTGTATTTTTTGCTCTATACGACTCACTTTTTCCCTCCTAAAAAGCAAGGGGAAATGTGTGTGCGTCTTATGGAGCGAATTCAGGCTGCACAGCTATCCCAGAAGCCAGAACAGCAAGAGGGATTGCTGCTTTCACTGCGCAGAGATCCCTCTTGCTCTTCTGGCTTCTGAGATTCAGAATATTTTTTTTCTTGTTTTCCTCCTCCCAAAACTAGGTGTGTCTTGTGGTCTGGTGCGTCTTATAGGGCGAAAAATACGGTAAACATGTTTAAGAATGTTTAAGGGTACAGTCATACCTCATGTTACGTTTGCTTCAGGTTGCGCGTTTTCAGGTTGCGTCCTGCGGCGACCCGGAAGTACTGGAAAGGGTAACTTCGGGGTTTCGCCGCTTGCGCATGCGCAGATTTGCAAAATGACGTCACACGCATGCACAGAAGCGGCAAATCGCGAGCCACAGACGCGCAGGCGCGGGTTGCATTCTGCTCATGTTGCGAACAGGCCCCCTGAACGGATCCCGTTCGCAACCAGAGGTACCACTGTACTCTCATTTTGACTCAAGAAAATCACCATTTTATATTTCAAATTGAGGAAAATAAATACAGTAAATGGACAAAAGTACAAAGATTCACAGGGACGCGGGTGGCGCTGTGGGTTAAACCACAGAGCCTAGGACTTGCCGATCAGAAGGTCGGCGGTTCGAATCCCTGCGACGGGGTGAGCTCCCGTTGCTCGGTCCCTGCTCCTGCCAACCTAGCAGTTCGAAAGCACGTCAAAGTGCAAGTAGATAAATAGGTACCGCTCCGTCGGGGAGGTAAACGGTGTTTCCGTGTGCTGCTCTGGTTCGCCAGAAGCGGCTTAGTCATGCTGGACACATGACCCGGAAGCTGAACGCCGGCTCCCTTGGCCAATAAAGCGAGATGAGCGCTGCTCCTAGAGTCGGCCACGACTGGACCTAATGGTCAGGAGTCCCTTTACCATTTACTTTTACAAAGACTCACAAAATGTTTAGGGGGGGTGTACCCCTGCGTACCCCCCAGAAAAATCAATGGTGAAATGTATAAACTTGAAAAGTATAAATTACAAATTAAAAAACAACATAACAACAGAAGTTGAACCCTTCAGAGGTCCTGCATGGAACAGACTCACTTAATAGAAACCGCCCTTTCTCTTTATCTAACTCTGTTATTCCTCTCTCCACCCTCCATCCGGCTGCAGGGTCACGTTCGAGCAGGACATTCTCGGAGGCAAGACCTCTCACCTTGGCGACTGTGAAGGTGTGTGCCTGTCCACCTTTCCTGGCTCTGGGGTTGAGGGCGGCTGGGCAAGCCCGCTGCTCGGATCCTGCCACGAACTCACCACGGCCGCACAAACCCCCACCCCACACACTGAAATTGCATAGCTTCCCCCCAAACAATACTGGGAACTGTTAGGTCGCTGGCGTTGTAGGTCTGCAGGGGTTAAACGATGGGATTCTTGGAAGCGCTTTGAATCCATGGTGCAGATGTGACCTAGACAGCCCTGGCCTCTGTTTGCCCAAATGAGGCCATTAGGGGCCATATGTTTTAAGCAGAATGTATGGGCGGTATGGGGAGGGCCAATACTGTTGGTGGGGGGCACATTGTGCTCCTTCTGGGGACACAGGTGGAGCTGTGGTCTAAACCACTGAGCCTCTTGGGCTTGCCGGTCGGAAGGTTGGAGGTTCGAATCTCCACAACAGAGTGAGCTACTGTTGCTCTGTCCCAGCTCCTGCCAACCTAGCCGCTCGAAAGCACACCAGTGCAAGTAGATCAATAGGCATAGCTGTGGCGGGAAGGTAAATGCCATTTCCATGTGCTCTAGTTTCTGTCACGGTGTCCCATTGCACCAGAAGCGGTTTATTCCTGCTGGCCACATGACCCGGAAAGCTGTCTGTGGACAAATGCCGGCTCTCTCGGCCCGAAAGCGAGATTAACGCTGCAACCCCACAGTTGCCGTTGACTGGACTTAACCTTCCAGGGCTCCTTTACCTTAACTTTTACCTAGTTTGTCCATCAAAGGTTCTCCCCCTCCCCATCGCCACCGCCCCTGCACTCAGCTCTCACCTGTGGCTCTTAGTTGCTGTCAGCATGTGACAGTAGCCACAACCTCACGTTCGAGAACTAAGCTGTTCAAAAACCAAGGTACAACTGTACACAGCTCTCCACAGGGAGGGCGGTTGCCCACTCTAACCCCTCCTTCCGACTTCCGCAGCAAGACAGGAAGTTCCTCCCTCTCACTGCCTCCCTTGTTCTCTGATATGTTCAGACCTCCAAGTCCGGGGAGAGAGGGGTCCCCCATACTCTCGATTGACGTCTCTCCAAGCTGTCCCCTCCCTTCTGGTTCTCCTGTCATTATCTCATAGCTGGATAACTCCTCTCTAATCTGTTCAGCTTCTGCGTCTGCCTCTCTGCTTCTGAAATCGCTGGAGGCCGGGGGGGGGAGCAAATATTCCCCCTCCTCTTCGGAGATAAGCTGATCTGACTGCATCCCCCAATCTTCAGATCCAGACCATTCCCTGACACCGCCCCCCTATTATGTCATTGCAACCCTGCAACTCTATGATAACAGATCCGGCACATCCACACTCACGGTCAACCCACCAGCTAACGCTGTCCCTCCCTCCCGCAGGCTTGTTGACGGAGAGCTTTGTGGACGAGCCGGACGGCCTGGTCTCGGTCAACCTGCTGGTGATCTCCTCCGTGGCGGCCTTCGTCATCGGCGCCGTGATTTCGGGCTTCAGCGTGTGCTGGTTCATCGGGCACCGCGACCGCAAGGAGCTGGCCCGGCGCAAGGACAAGGAGAACATCCTGTCTCACAGCGAGTCGGTGGTGAGCGTCAGCCGGCTGGGCGAGCGCCGCTCCCGGGGCGGCCCCGGCGGGCAGCCCGAGAACCTGCTGGCCCCGCTGATGCAGAACGGGTGGCCCAAGGGGTTGGTGAAGGTCAGCCAGCACGACCTGGATTCCGGGGTGCTGCCCACCCCGGAGCAGACCCCCCTGCAGCAGAAGCGCTGCCCCAAGCCCTGCACCTGGGAGTACAGCCACAATCTCATCAACGCCTCCTTGCGCAGCGGAGACCCACCCTCCTCGGTCATCCTCCTCCACGCCGGCCACACCACTGTGCCCTCGCACCACCTCGGCTCGGGCCGCGTGATTCCCATCTCCTGCCACTCCATGCTGGTGGACCAAGAGCTGGAGAACGAGGCCGGCGACCTTTCTCTGGACATGCGGTATTTGCCGGTCAGTGCCGGAGAGGGGACACGGGTGGCCCAGCAGCAACAACACCAGCACCAAGCGCCGCCCACGCACCGGCCGAGCGGGACTCGGAGCTCCTACGGCGCAGAGCTACCCATCACGCCGCACAGCAGCCCTGAGCGGCGGCGGGTGGTATCGGCCCCCGGCGGGGAGACGGGGGACCCCGCCCCGTGGAACCCCGAGAAGCTGAACTCGAATAGTAACAATGCGGCCAGCAGGGCGAGCGCGCAACTCAAGCGCACCCACACTTTCAACAGCGGGGAAGGGCAGGCGGCCTACGCCCGGGCAGCGCGGGGACCCACGTTGGGGGCCCAGCACACCCTGACGGACTTCAGCCACCTCCTGAAATACAGCGGCGTGGAGCGGACTGCCTCCTCCGTCAAATAGGGGGACCGGCCCAGGGGGCGTGGCTTGGCTCGGCGGCCTCCCTCCTTCGAAAAGGGGCGGGGTTTCACAGCACGGAGGAAGAGCGGATCAGGAAAAAAGGACAACGCGAGACCCTGGGTCCCACCTGAGGAGGGGGGAGGAGAAGGACCTGTGCTCCCCCCCCCCAACCTCCCAGGCGTACGGATTATTCGGGAGAGGGGGGGCACTCGGGAGATGCTGCTTGAGGCAACAAACAACAAAAAGCAGGGAGGGAGACCTCTTCTGTGTGTGCGTGCGTGTGCGTGATTTGGGGTTTATTTCATCCGGGTGCTTCCTCATTGGACTCTTCCTCCCGCGACGCTCCGCCTCCTTTCCGAGAGGCGGGGCGCGGGGCGGCCTCGGGTGCGGCTCCGCCCCTTCCTCGCAAAGGTGCCGCGGAAATAAGGGGGGGCAGGATTTTGAACGATGGAAATAAATAATAACCAACGGCGGTCGCCAGGGAAATTTCAAAGGTCAGGGACGGGGGGGGGGTATCTCCCTATCCGTTGCCCCCAGTTTCTTCCCAAGTGGTTGAAGGTGGTGCCAGACTCTGAAAGGCATTTAAAAAAGCAAAACGGGGGGCTGGCATTCCTTCCTTCGTTTCCATCTGATTTCCTGTACCCGTTGGGTGACGTTCTGGTGTGTTACTTACACGCTTGCACATGCACAAAACACGAATCCTTGCTCGTGCCAGGCAGGAATGGTTTGGGAGCGGCTGTTCGCCTACTCTGGCATGGCAAGGATTGCCTTTTTCCTTTTCCTCTCGGATCGAGAAATTTCTCAGAAGGAGAGGACCGTAAAGACTTTCTACATGCACCGGGAAAGCAAATCCCAGCATTGCCAGGTGGGGGGGGTCAACAAGATGGCGCCTTGGGGTCCCTTCCACTGCGATTCTAACAGTGCTAGCGGCTGCTGTGGAAAGCAGAGCAACTTCAGGGTGCCAAACAAAGCCCCTCTTTTTCATGGTTCTCGGCGCTGCAGGGTTTCAGGCCATTTTGACGCCTGCTCAAGTTAAGCCCTGGTTTAAATAATCCTGCGGGTTGTGATTGGGGGACGGGGAGGGGGGCAAAGATGGCTGGGAATGAATCTGTGCGGAGGGCCTCAGTTCAAGAGTCAGGACAATATTCACAGGGTCCATAACTGGTTTGATTTGTAGTGTCAGCGCTAATCCCTCACAGTTCTAAGTCTGGCCTGCCTCAGCGTAGATCATGGCATTTAACGCCATATCTTAAGGCGGGGTCAGCAAGGTTTATCTCACCTGGGCCGGTTTACTCCAGCGGAGATCCCTCCATGGGCCGGATCCCACGATTCCCAGCATTTGCGTCTGTGCAGATGCGATTTCCGGCGTCTGTGTCTGTGCAGATGCGATTTCCGGCACCGCGGAAGCGAGTCCCTGTGCCGCGCTGTGCCAGTTTAGCGCAGCACGCGGGGACTTGCCGAGCGGGCGGCTCAGTTCGGGGGTGGCTCTGGGGCCAGTTAAACAACCCCGTGGGCCGCTTTTGGCCCATGGGCCTTAGCTTGCTGACCCCTGTCTTAAGGAAATGCTGTGCTATGGGGAACAACCACAAAAACTGTTCTCTTCTGTGATTTGAAAGTGGGACGGAATCTGAAGTCTGAAGAGGGTGGTTTAACTCTGGCCACCTTTTCCAGAGTGTGTGGATCGCACGTACAGCCCACCTATTTGCAGAGCCCCCCCCCCCCAGATAATCAATTGCAGATGAACCAAGTCCGACGAGGCGATCTCCGCTGTGTTTACACAATCTAGGGAAGCGGTTTCCCCAAAATAAGCGCTCACCTTTCTCCTGTCAGTCCCTCAACGTGGGCGCAGCTGGTGTCGGGGCAGAAAAGAAGTCGGGAAAGGGACTCGTTCAGAGATGCAACAGGCGACATTCCTTTTGAGGGCACGCAACTCTGCTAAGCCTTTTTAGCATCGGGAGCCATGGAATAATCCAACGCATGCGTGTGTGTATCGAGATGAGTGCGCACAGGTTGTGTGAAAGCTGTTTGGAAGGAGTCAGGGACTTGTCTAGAGACAGAGAGGGCTCACAGGTTGGGTGGTTTTTAAGCCACAAGGTCTGTTAGTTAATTTGTTTATTTCTTGGGATATGGCTGGGAGCAATTGGGGAAATCCCCAGTCTAGGGTCCAAGGGGTCAGCAAACGTTTTCAGCAGGGGGCCGGTCCACTGTCCCTCAGATCTTGGGGGGGGGGCCGACTATATTTTGAAAAGAAAAAGAAAAGAACAAATTCCTATGCCCCACAAATAACCCAGAGATGCATTTTAAATAAAAGCACACATTCTACTCATGTAAAAACACCAGGCAGGTGCCACAAATAACCCAGAGATGCATTTTAAATAAAAGGACACATTCTACTCATGTAAAAACTCGCTGATTCTCAGATCATCCGCGAGCCGGATTTAGAAGGCGATTGGGCCAGATCCGGCCCCCAGGCCTTAGTTTGCCAACCCATGGAACTCCAAAGAAATGGCTAAGCAGAGCTGTCTTCTTGATTGCAAAATTTAGGCTGTTGGGTTGCAACTCTGGGGTAGGGATGTCAGCTGAGCATTCTTTTCTTTTCCCATTCCTCCCCCCACTCTTAAAAAACCCCAGACGCAGACATGCCAGAGATCCCAAAGAGGGAACTCGCTGTTTGCAATTGATGCCCTGATTTGGCAAAGACAGAACCCGTTTTCCATCCTTGGGTTGGCAACAGCATCTCCCACGGTCCCAGGCAGAGGGACCAGGAACCATGCCTGCCCGCCTGCTGAGCCAGTGTGGTCCCAACTGGGAGACGGACCCTCCCAGGAAAACCCAGCCAGCCTTTCCCCCTTACGAGCAAACGCAGAACGTGTCTGAGATTCGAACCCGGGACCAGCCAGCCGAACAGGTTTGCTCATTGTTGTATTTCAAGCTCTTACGCTGAAATGACTCGGCTGCATCTATGGACTTCCAAGGGTGTTATTAACATTACAAACATAGCGTTCTTTTTTCCCCTGGTCCAAAGCTTGGTTTGTTGCCCCTCTTGAAACATATTTTGTTTTTTTATCTGGCTGATAGCTCAACGTTTTCTCCCAATGAACTACGGCAGCTGGCTGGAGCGTCTGTGTGTCCAGAGACCTCCGGACGCTTGAGGTTGTGGACAAGCAAAAAGGGGAATAGGTTGCTTTCTGCGACCCCGCAGGGCTCCTTTCAAATTCGCCATCCACTGCTACCATTCCACACACAGGCAAAGCAGCTGTACAATTTATTTTTTCCCTGGTACAGCTTTAGAAGAGGGGAGTTGACCACTCAACCACAAACAGGAATCCTTAGGCAGCTGCTCCAACAAAGGACACCAACGATGTCTACCCTGGACCCCAGGCCGCCATTTTGCTATCAACAATGTTGTTGTTGTTTAGTCGTGTCCGACTCTTCGTGACCCCCTGGACCAGAGCACGCTAGGCACTCCTGTCTTCTACTGCCTCCCGCAGTTTGGTCAAACTCATGTTGATAGCTTCGAGAACACTGTCCAACCGTCTCGTCCTCCGTCATCCCCTTCTCCTTGTGCCCTCCATTTTTCCCAACATCAGGGTCTTTTCCAGGGAGTCTTCTCTTCTCATGAGGTGGCCAAAGTCTTGGAGCCTCAGCTTCAGGATCTGTCCTTCCAGTGAGCACTCAGGGTTGATTTCCTTCAGAATGGAGAGGTTTGATCTTCTTGTAGTCCATGGGACTCTCAAGAGTCTCCTCCAGCACCAGAATTCAAAAGCATCAATTATTTGGCGATCAGCCTTCTTGATGGTCCAGCTCTCACTTCCATACATCAAGAAGGCTATCAACAATAGACCACTACAGAAACAGCATGACCTCTCCATTTTCAGGCTGGCAGCCATTTCCCCCACCCAGAAATTGAGTTTCCAAGCTTTGTTGCGTGGCAGAGGGAGGATGGCAGGGAGTACTATAAAAACACGGACGCTTCCGAATTTTCATGGTGACGGCGTTTCGTTTCCCTCCCTCACAACAGCCTGAAAGTTCAGCATCTTCTGGGGCATCGTTGCATATCCTCCAACAAGGCAAAATCCAGGACACCTGTCTTCTCGCTTTTTATCATGAGAATGGCGGCCTTTTGGGGATGCCGTGATCTTGTGCGATTTCACACCCCAATTCCCCCCCAGCCCCTCCAAAGCATTTTTTCAGGTGCAGGGCCTAAAAACATATGTTTGGGGGTACCATGTGAGATCGCGGCTCCAGAAAACACACTCTTTTAGGAGATCTTGGCACTAAAAAATGGCCGCTCTCACAAGAAAAAACGGGATGTCTCGTTTTTTCCGGGACACTTGCAGGATATGTTGGGGAAATCATGGCCATATGAACTCACTGGTACCCCCAAGGTTAACCCCCCCCTGTGTCTCCTCCTGAACCTTACAGGGGGCACGATTGTAGGGGGGGTGTCTCAAAGAACAAAGTTTTGACAAGAGAGCTTCTCTTTCTCCTAACTCCTCTCCCCCAGTTCACACACACTTCCAGTCTTCCCTTCCCAGTTTTCTCCCCCCAAGGCAAGTCAGGGTGTGACCGCTTGTGGGGACCCCCCCCCCACAACAAAACTGGGAACTGTAGTTTAGAATTCCCAGCACCCTTAACAAGCTACAGGTCCCAGGTACATTTGGGGAAAGTGGTGTGATTGAAACGCATGGTGCAGATGGGACCTAAATGAGCAACTTAGTTTCTTACTCAGGGTAGACCCGCTGGAATTTATGGGCCTCCGTTACCCCTTCGTTTCAGTGGGTCGGCTCTGAATATGACTAACAATGGATGCGACCCCCAAGTTGGGGGCGGTGAGGAGGCTCCATTCCAATGTTAGTTTCCTTCCTTCCTTCGCTCTCACACCATCGCCTCCCTCCCTTCTGCCGCAAGCAAGGGCTCTTTCAGCTGATTAGCAGGTAGAAGTTCAACAGGAAAAGCTGCCCCTCGTGGATTTCTGCCACACCCCACATTTGCTGCAAACCCCCCCCCAGTTCAGTGCCTTTGCAAGTAGCTGAAGGATATGTGGGGAGGAAAAAATATTGGAGAGAAAGAGTTGTGAGCATCATTGTAGATTTCCTTGGTCTGCCATTTTCAAGTGGCATTTCAGGACTTGCAGGCGGAAATCCAACAGGTGCGGTTTTTGGCTCGCGGGAGGACAAGCAACACCTGATGGGTTTGTCTGTCGTTTGCAGACACCTGCAGAGGGAGAAAACGATCTGCCTGAAACAGCCCTCAAAATTTCCGAAGGCGAGGAACTTAAGGCAGAGGGTTAGCACAAAGTCATTCCCACTGGGGGGGGGTGCCTCCTGGTCCTGGCCCCCGCTCCCGTGTGCGATACAAGGAATAACGATTCCGGCCTACCTTACAAGGTTGTTGTAACGGAGGCATCGGCAGGAAGCCCTTTGCCTTTTCAAAACAGTGAAGTGGCTTTGTTATTGAGTCTTGGGTTGACAAGGCGCGCTTGCATGAACTGGCTTTGAACCGGTTCCGCTCCTGGGAACTGCGAAAGTCTGTAGGAGTCGGTGCAGCACCGACAAACTGAAATCTCCCTAATTTGGGGGGCGGCCCGAGGCAATTTGTCCGGTTGGAAAGCAGCTTAAAATCCGTACTGGAATCCTGATATCGCAGGGCAGGCGGCCTGTCGGTGTGGCCACTGAGTCGAGCCCATTCTGAAATCTCTGCGATGGGAGTCCTTGGCCAAACATTTCGAATTTGCTCCACATTCAGAGGCAGCGCATCTTCGAGGCAGGGGAGGCTGGCCTGGGGGGGGGCAAATCCTTGGCCCATCCACCACTTGCCCCCTGCATATCAGCTGCCAACCTTCCCCTAAGCCCCAGTGTTTCTTCTTGCAGAACTCAGAAGGATGGGGGCAAACGCAGAGTTGAGTCTTTTGCACTGGCCCTTAGCGCTGGCTCCCCGTACGGCAGGTCTCCCCGGCGCCAGTCCCGTGGGGCACCGAACGCCCCTGCCCTGGGGGCAGAACCCACAGCCAGGACGTGTGGGTTGTGTCCCCTTGTGGGTCTCCCAGACGCACTGCGGGAAATGTTCTGGTCTAGCCAGACAACTTCGGTCTGACCCTTCGCTGAGGGTGCAGGGAGAATATCATGCTCACTCTTTTATTACGTCGAGGTTTGGGGTGCATTCCTGATTCCACGTTATTCCTGCTCCGAGGGGGCTCCTGAAGCTGTAGATTTGGAGAGGCTGTTGGGGTAGCAGAAGGGGTCTGCCACTAGGTTTGGAAAGCAGAGATGGGTGTTAGGGGAACTGCAGAACGGTTGGTTATTCTCTAGCTACCCACCCACTCCATGGGGCAACGACTCCCCCCCCCCCAG